TTTTTTGCCGAAAATGATTACTCGTATCCAAGTAAATTTGGGATATTTCTCGTGTTGTAGCCACACCCACCTATTCTGAAACGGTCGACTGTTTCCGGATTTCCGACTCTCGCCGAAAGTGCACCACCAAATGCCAAAATGTGAGAGGAAGTCATACCCCTGAGCCGTAATAACATTGGTCATTCAGTATACTTTTAAACGATATACATTATCAGTCGGCGTTTTCTTTTTCTTTTTGTCTTTTGTTTTTTTGGTTGAGAGAGAGTTTTTAGATGTTGTGTTGTGGGCAGTTGCAGTGAAACGTATAGTCATAGTGTAAGTATTCACACGTTTCTAATCGATCCGAAGGTGCGACATCAGTGGACGAAAGCCACTTAACCTCAGATTCTTTTTTATTATGAGAAACTATCCTCGTACATGAAAAAACAACTAGGTTTAAAGAGAAATGCTGACAACATAAACCTGGCGCAACACTTTTGAAAGAAAGATTCCGGACCATTTCAGAAGAGAGAGACGTCCGGCAAGTGTTTCAAATGAGTTGACTTTTTTTGCGATCCTGATTATCATTTTATAGAGACCATTTAGTCCCTGTTAAGTAAAAGGTAGCAATAATTTTGACAGTGACACGAAAACGAAGTGTCGGACAAACAGGAAATTACACAGCCCTTACACACTGATAATTGTTTTCATTTTCGAAGGCTAAAAGTTTCTGAATTGTTTGGTGATTGGTGTTGAATGTCAAATTCATACCTGTTCTTTTTTGACCTCCATGCCTGCAGCTTGATCTGCGTAATAATTTATGAAATAAGAATCCGGGCTTGGTCAATGTGTTTCCACCAAATAAAGTTTTAATATGATGTTATAATTATGACAATCACGTCATGGATCACGCTAACTCGAATCCACTCTGAATTTATCTGTATGCGTGTCGATCTCGATTATTTTTGTTATCCAATTAAACGCCACTTGCGCTCGTCGTGACCTGCTGCGTTCACCTATTTCAACAAAATTTCAATTTATTTCCACGCGGCTGTCATTTATTTAGTAACTGTGATTTGTCGTTTTTTTAATTATTTTATAGTGATCACTATCGTCTAATGTTTAGAATGTCAAAATATGTTCTCTTTTATTTTAATTTTGAAAGATTTACTCAGACGATCGATGAAATACAACAGTGTAGTGACGTGCTTAGTAACCTGCTAAATAACGAGATAATTCCGACGTCAAATTCTATTTTGTCCAGCAACAGTGTACAAACGTGCGCCGGTGACGATCACGGTGACCAGCTACACCAGAACGTACATATTTCGCATCTAACTCACCCCCGTGCAACAAAAAATGATACTATGTGTTCATTATGGTCCATTCCTCCTCAACGAACAAGTACATAAGTGAAAATTTAGTCAAAGACAAGAAAACTGCACAAGAAATTTGCCTTATTTACACGTATCGGCAATGCAAGCTGCCATGCGACTTCCCCTTCTGACGTCACAAGGGGAATTTCTGTATGCAAATAAGAAGCTAATGAGGAGCCTCGTTTTAAAACACAGAAAAATAAAGTTGCCGTAGATTGAGTTTAAAACACATTTTTCACTTAAAAAAAATATTTCATGCTTAGAAACATAAAAATTAATAATATTTATGTATCAATGGATATTTTTAGGCGTGAAAATAGCAGCCATTTCACAGGCACTTTAAATGAACAACAATTCATTGTGGCAAAAAATACTGAGATCGTAGTAATCAATTGTATTTCTGTTTTTATTTACATTATTCAACAGGAAATAGCAGTTAAAAAAAACCTTAGTCAATTAACTTTTACTTTCCCTCATAAGCCATATTTTTATTTATTTACAAAGCAAAGAAACATTGTTTGCCTAATAAATCTGTCTTACTTTTAGAGTCAAGATAACAATAAGTTCAAAGTTCGAATAACCACTGACAGACAGTGTGAATTTAACAAGATACATATGCAAATCAGTCCCCCTGCAACTGCTGCATATGTGATACTATTCAGAAATAAATTAGGGCAGTAGGTATGGAACAGTAAATATGGTACTACTAAAAATAGTTTTTTCTCCACATTACGCAGGTACTATTAGTGATTTGACATGCAGGAAAGGTGTGTTCCATGTGTGCAGTGAATAGACCATTTTCCGTTCACTGCCAGATCCTGTGTTATGCATGAAATCAAGCGCAAAAAAAACAAAAACAAACAAAGGTCATAGCATCGTAGTGGCATTAATAAATCATCGCATGGGAGACAACAAACGACAAAGTATTTGGGGTTATTTCCACCCTTAATTAAAAATGTGATGTACACATTTAATGGTCTATTTGGATGAAGTAAGAATAGACCAACGAAATATTCCCTTCTCCCTAGATCAGGATTACCGGTATGTCATTGAGCTACAAAAATTTTTTTTTACCTCAAATAGTTTGATTTTTTTGGTCCAGGATTTTCACACAATATACAAGATCTCATAACAGAGATTTGGACGTAAAGCTTTTGGTCCTGTAATCTGTGCAAGCAGAGATTGCGATGTAAGGCTTTTAGACCTGTGCTCTGTGCAAGCAGACATGGGGAGGTAACACCTTTGGTCTTGTGCTCTGTACAAGCAGAGATGGGGAGGTAACACCTTTGGTCTTGTGCTCTGTGCAAGCAGACATGGGGAGGTAACACCTTTGGTCTTGTGCTCTGTACAAGCAGAGATGGGGAAGGTAAAGCTTTCTGAACCTGTGCTCGGTACAGGCAGAGATCATGTTATCACAAAAATACGAATTGAAGACAGAGTGATTTTATTTGCATTCTAGAAACGCACACAGAATCACATTGAAAAATCACTGCCAAAAATAGCCTTTTTAATATGTGATTGTTTAGGAACAAGACTACGGAAATATTACTTTATATATTTCGATACTTGCATTTATTATCATAAAATGAACATATTTTGCATTCATGTTTACGTCTGGGGGCGTGAAACCCAGAATGCAGCTGTTTTGGCCATGCAGGTAGAAATAATCCTTACCACAATGAGTAGTAGAATCTAGTGGTACAACTGTAATTTTTTCTAATGGGACTTGTAAATGGGAATAGATTTAATAGTCTTCCAATCGATAAATAATTAAACAAGTTAATGTAAATAATGTGGTCCCGTCAAAAATTTAAATGCCTGTCATTGGAACAGTAACATTGATCCAAAGTCACATAGTGACAGAGTGAAGAAACAAAATTACTGGCAGTTGGCTTTCTTGAATCAGATCTTGAAAATAATAATGTGCACATGTGCAAACCAATGTATCAGAAGCACAGCAAGTTTGATTGAAATAGGAGCAGTCATCTCAGAGATCTGGTTACCAAAATGGCTGCCAGTCGGTTGTTTTTAATCATGTGTTGTCTTGGTATCAAGTTTGAAAAAAAATAAAGGAAATGCAAGCATGAGAAATGACTAAAAGTCTGTTTTCAGATTGTGCGTTAATAGGGTAAAACAATAAACACTTGACCAAATAAGTGACAAAATAGACAAGAATCTCCTCTTACTTTCGTTTTTGCATTATTTGCACCTTGATTCTCATTTTCTTTTCCTTTTAGTTTTTCTTGCCTTCGCCTTTCTCGCTGACGTTTCTTCTTTTTTCGTCTTTTCTCTCGCAACCTATTAATTTTTTCTTCTTCTTGTATAAGCTGATCAGCATTCTTTTTGGCTTCCTGAAAAAAAAATGAAATCATGAAAACAACGAGCAACAAACTCTGAGATGCACAGCGAGTTGACAGGCATTACACTCCTTCCATTTGAATTTAGAAAACAACTATTTCACTCATGTTACATTGAACCTTACATACTTTCTAGATAAGTTGTGTTTTGCACACTTCCAAATTAGAATCCAAACAGCAATGCATGATGGGATTTATTGTGGTGAAGATAAATAATAACTTTGTCGATAGACAGCACAATCTGTCAAGTTTCGATCAGTTTAACTTGCGAAAGCCGTAACTTTTAGATTTTATATTTGTGCCAAGTTACTGAAAATTACAATACAACTTTGAAGATTTGAATGCCGTAATTTTCCCGCCCAAATTCAAATGTAACATTTTGTACGTTTTTGTTGTTGTAATTTTCAAAAATTCCCTTATTTATTTTGGACTGGTAAAACCTATTTAGCCACTTGCTACAGGCCTTGATGAAATTTATTTTAAATGCGATAGTTTGTCTCTGCAAATGTTAGGTGTGTATGTATTTTATACATTATTGTTAACCAACTACGCACCTCTTCTGTAAGTTTTCTTCGGAACCCAAATTCTGGAATGAATGCAAATTCAGAGAAATGTATTGGTAAACAAAAACAAAATTGTGATAGTAAGACAGACAATTTTTTAAGTTATGACATCATCACGACCTTAATTGTTATAACAGGGGTCAACAAATTCAGTGGACCAACCACTTTAAAAATATGGTTGGTCAATGTGAAAATTAAGTAAAGTTTAGCGTTTAACACTTTGAATACGAAAGTGAACTTTTGTCACCAAATATGAATCTGAATATTACTAGGCAACTACAACATCAATCAATGTCATGTTAGATTGTGGGTGTTCCACATTACTTAGCAAAAGCTTCTCATAATCATTCATATGTCATTTTTTTCAGCAGAAATACAACATTAGAATATGTGTGTTTATTTTGATGGTTGTCCCAATGGACAAACGATTTTCATATTTCGTAGCCAAATGACAAAAGTGGTTGCCAGACTGCCACCAATTTCGACTCCCTTTATATGTGAGCTAGATAAGAGAGATACCTACCAGAAGTTTGATTTTTTCCCCTGCGAGCTTTCATTTTTGTTTTAAGCCTATCAGCAAAAATTGTTAAGATGTCTTCTTCTTCTTCTTCTTCTTCATCACTGGTGGTGACCTCTTCTTCCGAAGACGACCCACTCCCCAAGACATGTTCACCATTATAAGCTTCTGTTGTATAAAAAACAACAACATGTGTTAATTACCGTACGGTAATATGCAACAGACAACACTCAATAAGTGAGGAAAGCTGAGTGGTTATTAATAACAAAATAAAAAGATTTTTGGGGAAAATACAATGACTTTTTGATTGATTTAAAAAAAAAATTAAACAATAAATTGATAATTATAAAATAATACCAAGGAGTTATAGGATAAAGGCATGCAAGTGTGCGATATCTCAAGAAATGAAGAAAAATGCAAATTTTAAAGAATTAAAGAAAAATGCAAATTTTCTTTGATGTAACATTTTTTTAGTATTCGGATGTGATTTTGAATATTCAACGAAAAGTTGAATCACACATGCACAAAATCCTTGAAAATATTAACTATTTATTTTGATGGATGATTTTCAAAACAAAAAATACATTATTAACCGCAGGACATAAACTCATAGAATTTCAACAAAATCAATTCATCAAGTTTTCAAAGACAGCTCAAAAAAGGGCAATTACTTAGTGACTTGATTACTAAATGCTAATATCCTCAATATTTTACGAAAACAAGTATATGCAACAGTAAATGAACAGTGGTAACCAAACCAGTCTGTTTTATATATATTCAATACGCATATTCTCAAAATTAGGTTTGTTGCACATACTCAGATGTATACATAATCAAATGTGATGCACCAAGAGATGTTGAACGTCATTGTACTTCTTTTGATGTTTGCCTGTCCTTGTAGTCTGTAGTGTATTCGATGCAAAATGTGTTCTGTTTACACTTACCAAACCTTGCAGCAAAAAAGATTCGTGCAAATAATTCAAACATGTCATCTAGCGTCATGAAGTCATTTTCAATGGCATCTTCTGCAGTTGTTAAAAGTTTATACGCGGACGACACCTCCTGAAATTTCTGTTGAAACAACGATAAAATAGTATATGATCATGTGGCAGTTACAACTTCGTTTCTCTGAGATATTTCCTTGACCTTTGACCTTTCTATTATGCATATTTGGATGTGGTTAAGGAAATGACCTTCCAATGTAAGCTACATATTTAGTTAACTGAATGAAATTAACAAAAGATAATAAACTCATCTGGGGGGGGGGGAATCAGTTTAGTTTAGTTTTCCTAATCAGTTTAGGATCATATAATGATGTATGTCAACTCTACCATACTATTGTAGATGCTGGTTATGAATCTGCTATGTTCGTGAACAAGTGAAATTTGTTAAAATGAAATCCTTATTGTTCCTTTGCAAAGTTTGTGAATTGCTCAAAATATCAAAGTAGTGTAATTACTTGTCAGTGAAAATAAATGGTGTTATATTATCTCAACTTGTATTACGATTCACCATGTAAAATTTACATATTAATTTACATAAAACAATCTGTGTATTCATGGAGAAGAAGCAGGTGAGAATTATATCAAAATAGAAAACAAAGAAACAGAAACTCAAACCAGAATAACAAATTACATATTCAATTTGTTTTTTAGGTCAACACTGCTCTGCTCCAAATATTTAGAGTGATTGAATTCCAAAATAAAATTCTACAAGGCAAGTTTAAGTACACCTACATGTATATAAGTGCAAATTGATACACAGCGTATTGTACATAGACAGCTTCAATAATGTTATCACAACATAAGTCATGCACTGTATTTACACAGACAGATTCTCATATCTCAGAACTTGATATATCAATACACAAAAGGCTAGGCTTCCGCTAAAGATAAAATAGGTCTAGCCACATTGTCTATTGTTTTTCTTAGCACATTTGAAACTGGTTCAGGTACTTAGATAAATAGAAAAGTAATAACAAATTATGAATTTGTTGAACAATTGGCAAGGTGAAATACAATATGTTTTCCTGATGATCAATTTACATCTCTGTTGGTAATGACATGCTTTAAAATGATAACCATTAAACTCAGAACAACTTAAGGTAGCGAGACTATTATTTGTGTTGAAAATTACGATTTTCACATTAATTTATCAATTGATGAAATGCACTATAAACTTTCATATGATAAAGTCAACATAACATAGAATGTCATGTAAGTTGGTTAAAATGTATATTTTCTGAAGGGAAGCAAGGCAGCCTCAGTAGTGTTTTCCAAAATCAACAATACAGGTTTAATCTGTGTGCCTATAAGTTTCAAAGATAAACTCAAGACAAAGCAATGTTAGGATGTGTTATCAGTAGCTATCTGACACACAATGAGTGTTCCAAACATTCAAGTGGTTTGTCTCCGCCCC